CTCCACCCCCTGATCCCTAACCCCACCCCTAAACCTACCCATCTCCGCCCCCTGATCCCTAACCACACCCCTAATTCTACCCATCTCCACCCCCTGATCCCTAACTCTACCCATCTCCAGCCCTTAGATCTGGATTCAACTCCTCCCACCTTACATATACCTAAACCTACCCATCTCCACCCCCTGATCCCTAACCCCACCCCTAATCCTACCCATCTCCACCCCCTGATCCCTAACCCCACCCCTATCCTACCCATCTCCACCCCCTGATCCCTAACCCCACCCCTATTTCTACCCATCTCCACCCCCTGATCCCTAACTCTACCCATCTCCACCCCTTAGATCTGGATTCAACTCCTCCCACCTTACATATACCTAAACCTACCCATCTCCACCCCCTGATCCCTAACCCCACCCCTAATCCTACCCATCTCCACCCCTTAGATCTGGATCCAACTCCGCCCCCTAGATCTCGTGTACTGCAATGAGGTGCTACTGACTTTTAGTGCAATCATATGTAATCAGAAGACTCGGCCATTACAATTTTTTTAAGTTACTTCTTCCCATACCTTGTTTGCCATCTTCCCATACCTTGTTTGCCATGGTCATCTGCTTTCCACATGACCTGAAATCACACAAAAAAAATACGTTTTTTAAAACTCAGTATTAGGCTACATTTACACACGTCAGAATATGTTCCACTGGGACAATGCAAAACCTCAACTGACTATGATCTGGAAGCTGAGCAGGAAAGGCTAACAGTTGTGTTTTGATCTGCCATGTGATTTTAGCTATACATTTATAGAAAGCAAATGTATATGATTTACTGTGACTTAGCTACATCAGTTACACCTAGGTCATCAGTGTCAGTTTATCTGGATCAATGCAATTTTCATAACCAATGATCAAAAGTATCCTATGAAAAAGGCTGCCTATGATGACCCCCAGGCCATCCAAAATGTAGATAAGTTAATTTCTTCATCAGAACACAAACATTCTATCAATTTTTATTTTATAAGCCTAATATATGCACCTATATGCACTCTATAGCTACGTGTTGGCAAGCAGATGCGGCCAGAATATGCAATTCATCATGTTGTGTTCATATTCTAGTTTCATGTGCTTTCCTGTATCATTATCAACAAATACAGTAGTTTACTGAATCCAATTTTTTAAAGCTACAATATGTATTTTTTTTCACCGCTAGGGGTCGCTAACCTCTTACAATAACAAAGGCATAGGTTGATGATGCATAAGCGGAATTATGGAACTTGTCGTCATGCCTATGGATCTAATAATGTTTATGGATGAGTGAATACATTGATGTTTTTAACATGACTGTGGAAGCAGGTCGCGATTGCTAATGAGAGACAGATGTCAGCGCCACACGCGAGTCCAGCGGATATAAAGGAATAAGTAGTGGTGGGCAGATCGAGGCATCGTGGAACACTGAAACACTTGAAGCAAATGTGCCGCTTCAAAACAATCCGACACCTGTCTCCACAGTGACCCCTAGTGGTCAGAACAATGCAACAGAAACCCGGGCCAAACATGCATAAAAACACCTTTTCCAAATCTATTGCAAATTTTTTATTGAAAGTAAAATCTTTCAAATGCAATTATCTAATCATCTAATAAAATTATCAAGTGTATATATGTTATTTTATCAATTGTCAGGGTTTAACAATCACAATTGTTTTTTCTATGAATGGCTCAGCTAAACAGGCCAATAAGACTAATAACTACCATTATTAATTTGAATTATACTAATGTCTAATTAAAATGTCTACAAATGTATAAAACTGATCATAGATCAGGTAAAACCCACAGACACTTGTTCATTGGTTCTCAGTGACTCCTCATGATTTACAGTATGGGTTGACAGAGATCATCAAGTGTTTCGAAACAGTTATGAAGTAATGAAGCCTCGTTTACTGAAATCACGTGACTCTGGCAGTTTTATACATGCTCCGAACCATTGATTAGGAACAAAAGATTTGAAAAGGTTTCGAAGCTTAATGAAGCATTGTTTTGAAATTGCCATCACTAGGAATAAGGACATTTCATTCTTCCGAACTACCTGCAAGTGCTGACTACTCACACAGGTCAGTTTCTTTGATGAATTAAACGTGTGAGGAACGCAGCGCCTTTTCACTTGGTCTACTACACTATAATACTACACTGCATTTGAGTGAGTTGAAAGTTATAAAGTTATTCTATGTGTTAGTTAGTTGGCTGTATGAGACTAGCAGTAAGCTAGATCAACATTAGAATAACATACTGATCATATTCAAACATTTCATCATGTTGAGCTATATAACATTGATTCGTTTTATGTAAATTTGCTCACCTGTCTAATAAAGTACATGCAAGACCGGCGTCTCTGTCAAGTCGAAGTTAGTCTCGGATGTGGAGCTCTCGGCATCTCGAAAACGCCACGACGATATTGATCCTCGTTTTATTTCTCCTTTTGTCCCAAAGTATGCTTGCCATGATCCATAATATTGGAACGAAACAACAACAGCGTGAGCGTGCCGCTAGATGTTATGCAGTTGTCTGTCGCCATGGTTACTATGGCAGTACAAGCGGAAACCAGGGATAATGCGGATATTACGTCATTGACAGGCGAAAATGGGACTTGCGATTATTTAAAATGGGAATTTCTCTGAAATTAAAAATCTTTGGGAACTTGTAAGTACACAAGTGCAGGAAATAAATCACACTGTGCAGATTTTTGGATATTTTATTACAAAAATCATACATATTGTACCTTTAACGGTCTTGATAGAGTAGCTACTAGAGATAGCTTCTGTCTCCACCTTAAAAGGGATGATTATCAGCCCATGACCTAGACACACATGAAAGACAATACTTATTACACTCAAGAGAACCGCCAAAGAGAAAATATCAACAAAACTACTTCTCACTGGCAACAACCTTTCTCTAATTAGCTTACTACTTGTTTTATAGGTTGTCTTGATGACACCCAGATCAGTACAACCATCCCTTGTCTTTGCTCATAACTTTCCATATACACAGTTACACAACATTAAACTTCAAGTTAAATGATGACTTGGGTGTAAAAATAAATAACCTACAGTATGTGGCACACATACTGTATGTGGGAAACAGCTGATAATACATTAAAGCAGAGATAATCTCTCTTGATTTTTTTAGTAGGTTAAAGGGCACACTGTGGGTTAAAGCAGTCCAAAGGGACCATGTGTGTTTCACTGGGTGGAATAGAAATGGGATTTTCCAGCATCTAAACTCATGTTTCTATTTAAGAAAGTCCTAATTCAAAATAACTAAAAATATATAAATACCAGACATGAATCTTAAGATGTGGAAAAGCATATTGAGAAGACTGAAATTACAGCTTTGTTAACTGAAAGGTCAGGCTAAGGGTAATGACTCTTGAGTATTTGCATGAGGTAAGCTTGCCAGCAGGATCAGGGGAAGGTATCTGTTGGTGTAGAGTGTTATGGGACAACATGTTTTTGTTATGAAAAGCAGTTTAGATTAGGTCATCAAATGAAATCGTTTGATTGACCGCACATTTAATATAGACTTGAGTTAATAAATGCGCACACAAACAGACACACACACACAGAGAGAGAGGGAGAGATACTGTTTACTGACATAAGAGTTTATTATGATTATCGATCGAAATGAGTGAATAAAATACCTGTTGACTTTATGCAGTATTGTTTGTCCCATAATTTTAGAGGTCCGACGGGGAAACTGTGGCGGGAATCTTTGGTTCCACTAAGGATTGTAATCTACCACTTATTAATTAAGCATGGGTGTTTCAGGGACAACGCGGCTGAGTTGCTTCTGTTACTTCCTCTTCAATGTATTGTAAATGATATAAACTGTTGCATAAGAGAATAGATTAAATATTTTGAACAGTATGACAAAATGTCTCTTCAAGACCACTGGTTTTCAAACTTTTTACACCAAGTACCACCTCAGAAAATATTTGGCTCTCCAAGTACCACCACAATGACCGATATAAAAATACAGTAGCGCCGTAGGCCTAACTATTCAGCTACAGTTATGCACAGATCAAAAACGAGGCAGTTTTATTTCTAATAAGAATATTTATTATTGTCAGCAACTTTAAACATTGTAAAAACCGTTTGAATATTTACACTGAACTGTGCTGCTTACATACAGATAAATAAAAAACTTAAATAATGGTTCAATTCAAATGTATTGCACCTAAAAGTGAAATAAAAACTGTACTGGACTTAAAATATTAAGTAAAAAAAAGTACTGTACTTAATAAAAAAAAGTTAACACAGTCTGTGTATTCATATTTAAAGGGATAGTTCACTTTGGAATTAATTTTTGGTATGTTTTATCTTACCTCAAGGGCATCCAAAATGAAGGTGTCTTTGTTTTTCGCAGTAGTTTAAATTTTGATATTTTTAGGTCAAACCGTTCTTGTCTGTCAGTCAAATAATGCAGGTCTATGGTCACCACCTCAAAGAGCATGCACAGAGAAGTCCAAATTAAACATGATTTAATGACTCGTAAATGTAAGTACACATTGATGGCCTAAGACACGAAACGAGCGGTTTGTGTGAGAAAACGAACAGTATTTATATCGCTTTTACCTCTTGTAACCACAGCCACGTCCAAGTGATCTGAGGGCGCGGGTGCTTCGGTCTGCACAAGCGCCGGAAAGCGCCGGAAGTAATCTCTCGCGTAGTTGCGAAAAAAATTCAACGTTGTCTGTTGATATATCGAAATCGTCTTCCATTGCGATTTCCTGTATATCTAAATATGTTTAGATCTTCACAGTGAAAGGTAACACTTCCGAAATCTCTATGTAAACAATGAGTGACGTACACGCGCGAGAGATCACTTGCAGCGCTTGCGCATACCGAAGCTCCCTCAGATCACTTGGACGTGGCTGACGAGTGCAGTAGTGATAAGTAAAAAAATAAAAAATAAGTTTTTTTGTTTTTGTTTTTTTTTACTCTCCAATGCAGGCAACAGTGTTGGCCCAGAATGGCTCCTAAAAAGGTGCGGGCGGTGCAAGCAGAGGCTGAGGAACCTGTTAGAGCTGAGATGGAGGGAGACGATGGTGAATCAGATGCTGAGTTGGGGAGTGTCTCTGAGGATGTCTCACTGGCAGAGCTGAGAGACATATTCCGATTACATCTCGCAGGCTCAAGACCGCCGCATAGAGCAAGAGGCTGGCAGACAGGAGCCTCGATGGAGAGGAATGCAGCATCAGTTCTCTCTTCTACAGCATGAAGTGCACGTAAAAACGACACCAGATCCAAGGCCAGTCATTGATACCCAGTATGGCCTTCCATCACAACCAAAAGTCCAGCGAGTACCCTCATTTCTACAGGATGGTCCAAGCAACTTGTAGTCCAAGCAAGCAGCATATGTGCACATGGACATGGTTGTGAAAAGATCAAGGCAGCAATTCTTGCTAAGTATGATATCAACTCAGAGACGTATCGTTTTCAGTTCCGGTCTACCGAAGTGAAGAAGGACGAAACCCCGAAGAAGTTGTATGCCAGACTTAAAGAACATGATTCCAAGTGGGTGCAGCCACAGCATCATACTAAGGAGAAGATTTGAGAGATAATTGTTTTGGAGCAGTTTTTGCACATGCTGGCACCTGACCTTCAAGTCTGGATTAGGGAATGAGATCCTGGCTCTGCTGCTGAAGCTTAGCAGACACCTTTGTGGCAGCTTGACGCAAGACTCGGCCATGGACATTCAACCGGTGGAAGGGGAGTAAAGACTCAAACAAGCTCCTGCACTCCTTCCTGACTACAGTTCGAGCCATCAATGAAGGCAAGTCTGTGAGTGATAAGGTTGGTTCAGTCAAACAAACCCCTGGTTTTAAAGTTGGTGTGCGTAGGACACCCTAACCTTTATGTTATCATTGTGGACAGAAAGGTCACAAACAGTCAAGGTGCCCTAGTAACACTTCTACCCAGGCCAATGTGTGTACCATTCCAAGACCTAGCTGTTTGGCAACTCAAGTGCTATTGCCATATGTGGATGTAGTTCTTAATGGACAAAAGGTTAGGGCACAGGTAGACACAGGAAGTATGCAATAACTGGTGCATTCTGACTTGGTACCTGTAGTTTTAAGGAGTCATACGTCTGTATCACAGATTTGTTGTGTTCATGGAGAGGAAAGGCAGTACCCCATTGCTAGTATTATGGTTAATGTATCGGGGCAGGCCTATTTATTGGATGTAGGTGTAGTAGATGGTTTACCATATCCAATGATTTTGGGCCGAGACTTACCGGTGTTAGTAGATCTACTCACTGATGGCAATGAAAGCATTGGTAAGAAATGTAGTGTAGCTCTGATCCGGGGTAGGGCTCAGAAACAAGAGGAAGATGTTGAGGACCTGAGTATGTTACCTTACTTTGGGGCAGATTTGAAAGCTCAGCCAGGTAAGCCTAGGAAATCTAAAAAGTAAAAGAGACTAGAAAAACTCCGTTTTGCAGCGGCACCTGGTGAGGAACCTCTTGTAGAAGAGTGTTTAGGCCCAGTAAAAATCCCTCGGGAGATTGGATTGTTGCAGCAAGAGGATTCAGTAATTGGTCCCCTATATAAGCAGGCTCAGGTAGAAATATAAGACAAAGGCTCGACATCAGGTAGTTCGGGGAATCTGATGTTTATTAAAGATGGTGTGGTGTATAATGGGGAAGGGAATAGATGCCAGAATAGTGGTCTCCTGGAAGGCAAGGGATATTGTGCTTGAGTTGGGAAATTCCATTCCCTGGGCCCAACAATCAAACTTCATGTCTAAACTTTTACAACAACAGCTTGTTGGGTGTCAAGGGCTTAAGAACCACACCCTATCACTCTCAGACTGTTTGGAGAGATTCAATCAAACACTTAAACAAATGCTGCAAAAGTATGTTAGTGAATCTGGACCTGACTGGGATCAGTGGATTCCCTATCTATTGTTTGCTTACAGGGAGGTCCCTCAGTATTCTACTGGCTTCTCACCTTTTGAGTTGCTATATGGCCGGGAGGTGCAAGGTCCTTTGTCCCTATTGCAGGAGAGCTGGATGGGAGGCCGGGAGGCCCCAGAGACTCAACGTGTTCTCTCTTATGTTCTCCAGATGCAGGAGAAGCTGAAGAGCATGACACAGCTATCCCAGTCAAACCTAGTTCAAGCACAGCAATGTCAGCAGCAATATTATGGTCAAAAGTCCAAGGTCAGAAGTTTTGAGACTGGAGAAAAGGTGTTGGTGAAAGCTGCTCACTAAGTGGCAGGGTCCCTTGAAGTGGTCCGTAAGCTTGGACCCACCACTTATGAGTTTGCCAACTCAGGAAATTAGCACTCACGTCGGGTACTGAATGTTAATTTGCTCAAGAAATGGCATGAGAGGCTGTCCCAAGTGGCTGAGGTGTGTATGATTCATCAGGTGGAGGATGAAGATGAGGTGGAAGAACAATACTTACACACTTCCTTCAGCAAACACTGTTGACCTCGATCACCTCTCACCCCTTCAACAGTCACAGATTTGTGGCATAGGGGTGTGCCAAGAGAAACCAGGGCACACCACTCTGATACCCTGCATGAAGGGGCTGCCACTCGACGTAAGTGCTACCGTATTCCAGAACGTCTACTACCAGCGTTGAAAGAAGAGGAGCCGTTATCAATATGTGGGAGATTCCCGGAACTTCCGGGAGACTTGGGATATCTGCAAGTGAGAGGATGGTTGTGGTCACCCAAGTTCAGTAATTTAAGGTAGTGACAACTGCATTTAAAAACATTTTACAAAAACTGAACATCTAGTGATGTACTACGAGAGATATAAGGGACGGCATACCAGATATTCTTTTTACAACATGTAAAGTAATTAGCATTGTTTGCTGGCTTTGACCACACAAGGGTGAACATATTGTGGTTTTTAATCATTTTAGTCTTCATGTGGCTTAGACTGTAGCTGTTGAAGACCAAGAAATGTCTACAATCTTTGAATATTTGCAGAAATTATAACAAAGGGATTTTTGCAGGATGGGAATGTGCCAATTTTTTCACTACTGGCTTTCTTCTACAAAGAAAAACGTCTCGGTTACTTGTGTAACCTTCGTTCCCTGAAGGAGGGAACGGAGACGTAGTCGATCATGTCGACTGAATGGAATCACGCCAGGGAGCCAGTCATCTTCGAGTAGTATACAAAGGAGACAATGGACAACGCTCCGCCCCGCAGCGCGGGTATAAATATGGACATGGATGCACGCATCTGTTGTTTTTCGCTGAGGAGCCGAGCGGAACCCGGTCAGCAGTGGTCCAGTAGTAGTGTCAATGGGACTACCTCTCCGTTCCCTCCTACAGGGAACGAGGGTTACGCAAGTAACTGGGTCGTTCCCTTTCAGTCAGTCACGTTCGACGTAGTCAATCATGTCGACTGAAGGGTATCCCACTAACACGCCACTACTACTGAATGGGATCCCACTAACACGCCACTACCACTACTCAGGCCAGGAAGTCACTGCTGTTCCACAGGATCACTGGGAAAGCGTACCTTTCGTTGGAAGGTCTACGCTGCGGAAGCCACAACCTGCTAAGGAGGTACATGTGGAGATACACATATGGACTTAGCGGGCAGAACAATATATGGCATGTCACTGAGGTGGCTCCAGCCAGAACAGGGGGAGGCGCAACCGGTCAGTGACGGCAGAGCGGGCTCTGCCAGGGAAGACACGGGCTAGCCGCAGGGAGTAAACCATGGAAGGAACACATGGGATCACAACATATGGGCCCCACCTAACACAAGTTACACAAGCATACAAGTGATAGGCCTAGTATCAGAAGCTACACCATGTCCAACACCGAAGGCGGTGAGGAGGAACTCAACAGGGCTCGGAGGGGGAACTCACTGGAGCAAAAGGCTCACTTATCAAAGTCCATAGGAGGGGAATGGCGCAGCAAGCCGACACTAAAAACCGGGCTAAGGTAAAGCTGGCTTCGAGTGAAGGGAGCCTACTAAGCAACCGGCCTAAACACATAAGCTAACTTCTTAGCGAATGTTCTGTGTCGCCCTGCCCACAACTCTTAATCTGTCAGCGAGGCACTCATGTCAATGCCCAGGAAGGAGCTAAACTCTCTTTATGGAGGAGCTCCTTACCCAGGTGGGCACGGTGCACCTTGGAATTTCACCAAGATGAAGGCCACACTAATCCTAGCATGGAAACCGCCTTCCTTACTGCTGGTTTTCCGGGACAGACAAGAGCCGGAGAGGTCCTGCGACTTTGTATTCTGTCCTAATAACCGCAGTGTGGGAGGAACAGAGAAAATCAGGGCTGGGCAGCCTCCATGGGAAGCACTTGCAGGCTCACCACCTGGTCCCGTTTAAAGGAGAGGTACCTTGGGCACATATTCAGGCCAGGGTCTCAATAGTGAGAGTTAGCCAGCCCGAGACCAGGCACGATTCGTTTAACGAAAATGTTCCTCACCCTCTAGATCAGAGGTTCTCAACCCTGTCCTGGCGTACCCCCAACACTACACATTTTCCTTGTCTCCCTAATCAAACACACCTGATTCAACTCATCAGCTCATTAACCCATGTGATAATGAGCTGATGAGTTGAATCAGGTGTGTTTGATTAGGGAGACAAGGAAAATATGTAGTGTTGGGGGTACGCCAGGACAGGGTTGAGAACCACTGCTCTAGATAGAGCAATCAAATAGGAGAACTGTTTCTTACAACAGATTTTTAACTCAACTACCTGACGTACTCAGGGGAGGTCTCAAGAGTGCAGTAGCACTGGAGATAAGTCCCAAGAAGGTAAGAGGGGGCACAAGGAAGATTCCTCTCCTTGCACCACTCAGGAACCTGACAACCAAGTCGTACTCCATATATCTCAACTGCATCCTGATGTGCTTTAAGGGCAACATCAGTTGAGGGTGTAGCGGAGCAGCCGCACTCTGACCCTTCTTCTGCATGAAGGAAGCACAGAAGTGATTGAACACTCTCAGGGGGTCCTTAATAGAAGAACACCAACAACGAACAAGTTCTACTTCAGATCGTAAGCAAGCCTCATGTTACAGGGAGCTCTCGCAGAAGTAATAGTAATTAGGCTCTTTCAGAGGTAGATAGCTGAACCACCACAATGTAACCTGGAGTCTCAGAGGAATGGGTCAGGAAGGCTGTCTAGGGGACAAGGTC